TATATATATCAATAAAATGATATGATCAAGGCCCATCACAAGTACTTATACGATTAAATCGTAAGAGCCTTCACCACAGGCCTAGGAGGCTGGAGGTCTCTTTCAAGGAAGTGTATGGGAGTTGAAGTTTTAAGAGGGGAGGGGGTGGGCAGCAGTTAGTTTTATTATATTAAGATCCTCTACTTATTTTAATGGTTCTGTGTCACATATGGACCCTGCGATTGGAAGAATCACCCAAAAACGACTAGGTAAAAAATAACTTAATTTTGGTAAAATCGTAGGGGTATATCAGAGAATCACGGAATCACTGTTCCCTGGGTAGAGCCTATATAGCTCACAATTTTTGTCGAAATTGGAAATTCCCATTTTCCGGTTGTTTTTGTTTTCTTTGGCACCTCCTACGGATCACACAAATACTATCCATGTTTACAAATGTAACCTACTTTTAAGTTTAAATATGCCATAATGTATTCATTAAGCATAGACCTATACAGGCTATAGTCATAATTCTAGCATAATTCACAACCGTTAAATGCTATGAAAAATTATGTTAAACAAGGTTAATACAAACATAATCGATATTTTCATGAGCATTGGGTGTCATAATGTAACAATCACCCGAAGAATAACTAGGTGAAAATAGCCAGATAGGCAAAAACACAACGGTTTCTTTCGAAATTGGACGATGTTTTACCCTACCATTTGTCAGTGACGTTGTGTTCTGTAGCGGCATACAGATCACATAATCAGTATTTTCATGATCCTGGGGTAACTTGATAGAAGAATCAGCAGAAAAAAAAATAGACCTATAGGCCTATATGTCAAAAAACAAAAAAAGTGATTGCTTTTTAAATAAAATATTAAATGCATACAATTTGTTATTATACAAATATACATAAAATGACGAAAATATACTTATGTATACCAAAAATATATATTTATTTTAGAATATTAATTATTACTCATTATATTGTTTTGTTATTATATCGTTTCTAGGATTTCATTATAAAAATTCTACTTTCATTATTCCCCTATCATAATACAAGGCTATCAGTGAGGTACTCTTTCTTTCTATCAATTGCCTATAATTACAGTTGACGTCAATTAACGGAATTGCGCTCCAATCAGGGATTAAATATAGTTTCTATTACGTCATTGGGTGAGATAAACAATCTGTGTTGTCCTTTTTTTACGATGCATATCATTATTATTAATATGGTTAAATAAGTGAAGGTCCACTGTGCGACATCGACTAGACGTGTCTCTGAAATGCGTGGGTTATCATTAAAGGGAATTCTCAAATAATATACCTAGGACTTTATTAATATGCTAAGGCCTACAGTTAAACGAGGCCAGAAATTGTCGGGTAAGTTTCCAAAAGTATTTATTATTCCTGTCTCGAACTGCATATTATTACTGTATTATCATCGTCGCCGCCGTCATCGTCATTCGCCGTCGCCCGCCGCCATCACTATTGTCGTCCTATCGTATCCGCTGATCGATAAATAATATAGCTTCGGCAACAAAGCCTAGAATAATATTATGTAAGGACTTATTACTGCTTAAAATTGGAAATTTGAAGATGGTGAAGGGACAGGCCTGCCACACCCATGCACCATCCTGAACACGCATCTCAGTAACGGTAACCTTTCACTTATGCTCCCATATCCACTACCTCCGTGGCACCAGTCTGATCTGGACTGGGGGAAAGAAGGGAAAGGAAACGCCTGCCAGGGTGTGTAGGTATTCTTCAGGATGCCCAAAATTACCCTGAATTGCTTTGCTTCCTTGTGACGTCAACTGATAAAAGAGAAGCAGTTTGAATTTCTGCCCTTAATTCCACTTCACTCTCTATTTTCCTCTGCCGCCTGTGAGTTTGTATCTCCTCTCAGTTTTGAGTAAATATTACCACCATAATCGACAACAGTCTTAGATATGAAATTGTGTTGCTAGCGTACTTTCTCTTCCCTTTTTTGAAAGAATACCATCGAAATAAGTTAGTCTCTGACTTTGTTACATTTAGGACCAAAATGTTATTACACTTAAGAACCTTAAATTTAGGCCAAAAAAAGAGAAACCTTTGGTAAAAAATACCGTCGAAACGATTAAGTCTCCGACTTTGTTACATTTAGGACCAAATGTTATTATACTTACATTGAGGGCAACAAGATACAGATATCTTTTTACTTATATAGATGTTAACACAAATATGAAATATATTAAGTATGATTGTTAATAAATGGTATGTACTACATAACAGGCCTTGTCTTTTTTTAGATCCGTTGTAAATGATACACAGTAAAAGCATGGATGGTAAAAAGCATTTATTGACTGCAAACATCAACGACGAACTATATCTGTTTCTTTGCTCTATGATTATATGATTACGCTTGACGTATGCATATGGCAATAAACAAATCTCTGAATTTTTAATAAACGAGAAAACTGAACAAATAATGAGGCCAGGGTATTAATAGCACAACTATCATAATTAACGGAAATCTAGTTTTGGCAACGAAAACAAAACACAACAGACGATTTACTTGAAAAACAAGTTGATCTTTATTTCACAAAATATACTCGCATACACTAACCAGTGCTAAAACGCTACTACATTGTTTTTCCCTTCTCAGTGATAACAACATCAGGAAGGAGTTTCAATTTATCAATAAACAAAATGAAGACAGAACACTTAAAAACGAACACTTAACTGCCATTAATATTTCATTGAAGACGAGAAGTGTTACGAAAAACGATTTGTAAAATTCAAGTACCATCTTAAAAGTTAAGCGTGTGGAGTAGCAATAAATAATTGAAATTTTGGAGGGTTTTTAAGGTAAATCTAACTTAAAGTCCAGTGAGTGGTGAGACAAACACTTAGAAGGAAACAACACATTTAACTCAATGACGTTTTACGGAAACCGTTTAAATGACATTTTCCCATTATTTTTAATGTCTCTGGAGACAATATAGGAAGCATAACTTCATACAAACAAAAACAAAATCCAACAACAATATGGCTGCAAGTCACATTATAAGACCCGACAGAGAGACAATATCTTTATATAATCTATACAATAAAATATACTACTCTTTTATATAAAACTATACGATCTTTATAAACTAAATACATCATAATAGACTAGTAAATTACAGTTTTGTATAAGATTTTTTCACCATAACTTCAAATAAAATTATATGATCAATAATAGTATTCCTTGTCAGAAACATGAACAAAAAAAATTAATGGAGGTACACAAAGGATGAACCAATAACAATATATGTTCTGTCTACAGAACATTCAAAATGGCAAAAGAAAAACTAAACATAAAAAAACAAACAAATGTAATAACAATAAAAGTGCATAAGAAAAACGAAATAAAAAAAAAACACACAATGCTATCAGAATAATAAAAGTTGAAATGGTGTAATAATCTGATAAATATCATAAATTATAAAAAAAAAATTAACAAAAATTTGTATATACTATAAGTTTTTTTGTTGTAAATACAAAGAATTAAAATAAAAATTCCTTCAGAATTAAAACACAGTAGCAAACTATGGCTTAAGGCCTGTTTATACTTGCAACGATAATGATAAAAAGATAAAAAGCAATTATTCGTATAGAAAGTAACAGAAATAAGAGAAGTTTTTACACTAGGATGCTTTGATAACGATTTATCGTTCATACAATAACAAAATTTTTTGACAAAACAACTGAAATGACGTCATAATCATGGAAAAACGATAAAATCGTTTTTACTACTAGGATCTTATCGTTTTTCAATGATTATGACATAATTTGAATTGATATTTTTTATTGTATATACGATAAGTCGTTATCAAAACCTCCTAGTGTAAAAACTTGTTATTTCTTTTGTTTTCTATATGAAAAATTGCTTTTAAGCTTTTTATCATTATCAAGTATAAACAGGCCTTTAAGGAGTGTATTTGTTATACTTAGGATGTGATAAGCCACGCCCATGTTATTTAAGAAAATATTAATAAGCAGCTTTGCTTAAACAATTATGAAAATATACATAGTAACAACTAATCAAAAATAAAGATTAATTATATGTTGATTTTGGAGTTATAATAGTATTAAATTTATATTGAAAACCACTTTGTTAAAAAATAGTGAATTATTTTCATCAATAAAAGCGAACACAATTTTCCTTCCCTTAAAGTTGAGTCTCTGTTGATAAGACTAAGAAATAAAGATAAATTTTTAAACTTTTTTCCAGCATGGTTGCACCAGTCAACCAGCTTCATATATCATTATAATATATACATATCTCATTACAAAAATTCTGCTCACATATATGTACAAAAATGGATAGACACACATAAATATAGTGAATTGTTACTTGCTGTATCTTATATTTACACGTGTTATATGGATTGAGTTATATAAAAGTGCAGACAATTAACTTTATGTTGATGTATTGAGATGATGTCAGGTATTGCACTTAAATACGTCACCCACTACATCAGATTAAGGAATAAGGAATTGAATTACTAAATATTAAGTCATGCTAAAATGATAATGTTTGTTACATTAGATAACACAAGTTAAATAAAACCACACAAAAAAGGTGGCACCAGCGGGGCGGCCGCATCGGGGAGAAAAAGCACAATTCGTCGGGGAGAAAAAAAAAATATGTGTATTTTCTACATATTAGTAGACTCTAAAATCAATTAAATAAGCCTTTGAAAACCCGAAATTATCAAAATTTTCAGAGGCTTGCCAACCGGACCACTTTTGAAACCTTTTAATCAAAGCTCGACCACGCCCACTTTGCTTTGAAATCTGACCCCTTGTTGGGGAATCCCCCCTCCCACATTGGGTTAATCCTGGCGCCACCCCTGTACAAACAGTCCATCATTTTTCAAAGAAATATTTTCAACCAGCATTTTCTTTTACACCAATATGATACAATAAGAACTGGTAAAATATTACAGCACTTATTCTATTTTGTAACTCATAAAACAATACTGTACATAAACCTTTGCAATAAATATACATCAAGCATTTTTAGGCTTTCTTGATATCCAATATTGGAATAAGTTAGCACTCATGTTTAAGCAAAATGCAATGAAACTTCAATGCAACATGAAAATAATCTCTTTTATTTATATTCCTTTCATCATACTTTACATAATAAAAGTCACCAAGACAAATTTTAAATGCCAACCAGTTTTTCAGCTACCAACATACGATTTTTGTCTTATTGGTGCTTGACGAATGGTTCGCCGAGGTAAATAGGATCATTCTTTGATGAGTACATGATAACGTGAGTTGTGTAAAAGTCAATTATTTCTGCGACTGAGTTGAAATCATGATGCGCAATGGAAAATTTCTCATCTTGCGTTGTCTGAATGAGGTAGTGATGCACTTTCCTTCCAAACAGTACAGAAAGCATTAAATCTCCAGCCTATAAGAATAAAGTATAAAATAAAACATATAAAATATGAAATATTATTAGTGGAATGTGTCAAAATATAGAAAAATTGATTACTGACAAATACAACATAATAACACATACATTAAAGATTTATTTCATATAGGTTATCAATTTATACTCAAAATTGGGACTCAAAGGTAGTTTTAAATAAATATTCAAAATCTTTAATCTATAATAGAATTCTTATTTTGAATATAAATATCAAGGATATAAATTTTTAATGTATAATATAAATTTGTCATGGAAAGAATTTGCACATTTATGAAACAATTTTGTGTGCCAAAAGAAAACTTCTGCATTTTTCTCCTCAATAATTGTACATAAAAAAACTGAATTAGTACCTAATCATTAAGAGATTAAAGAATGTAGACAATTCTTTTTGTCAAGATACGAATCCTTGATCAGATACACATCCTGTGTGTTCTTCCCCAAATGTCAGTCACTCTAAAAACTGGTTTAAACAGATGTAAGGAACTTACAACCAAGTTCATTAAAAAAAAAAAAAAAAAAAACCTTAAAGCTTGAGTATATGTTGAGAATGATACAGCCCAGTACCATGCCCTGGTTCAGGGGAAATGCCTCAGAAATCAAAGCCTATAGAAGCATCATTAGGTCACCAAAATCAAGGTACAAACAGATCATCGCCAACCCAAGGTCAGCAATATTTTGAACAATTGGGGTGGGTGCAGATAAAAATAACCTCATCCAAATCAAAGTATATACAATTATACTTTTGAATGTGGCATTATTAATGTTTGCTAAGAACTAAACATTCAACTAATATATCATGATTTTATATAATGATTAATCATATGTAGATCAGTAATTGTAATGCAAGGATTGAGTAATACCACTTTGTATTTGTTTTTATATCTTAGATATAAATACATAAATCTGATAATCAACACAAACCAAAAAAAACATTCAAAAGGATTATAGTATTGCAATCTAATTTTTAAGTAGGATAGATCCATCTAATGTCCACGTAAAACCAATGTAATTAGCCACTAATGCGCTATTATGAAGGACAAGATAAAATAGTTATCTTTCATCGGAGACCATATGTTTAGAACACACTACTTAGGTAAGAGACATACAGACTACTGATGAAGCATGTGATATTAATCTGGTTAACATATTCTGATGACATCATCCACCAAACCTCACGACTCTCAATCTTGTCAGCGTTCTTAACTAATCTGGGATGAACAATTTAGGATACGTGGCACCCAGGCCTAGTTCTAACAGGTACCGTATAAGGTGACAGATTAATTTGCATGATTAACAACTGAGGTCAAACCTATATTTAGCATCTGTGATTTACTTTAAAAAATATAACAAACATTTAAATTGTATTAATTTTTTTAAGATTTATTCAAAAATACTTTTTGGCAGTAAAAACTAAATTATGAGTATATTTTACATAACAGTTGTAAAAATAAATAAAAAATAACAACATATAATATTTAGATAACGAAAAGAGAAAAAATATATTGAGCAACATACCCTGTGTGAGCTGTCTCGGACCAGGAACTGGCACGGTTTAGCGAGTGATAACAGTAGATTCTCACATTCTTGCCGTGGCATCTTGCCAAAGTACCATGTTTTACCATCTACCAAAAAAAAATTAATTGTATTAATTTGCACATGAAATGTGGTTTACAATTTACATCACAACATTATTTAACCTTTAACAATGTGAACAAGGTTAATTGGTGAAACAGCTTAGGAATTGATAGTGAGATTTTAGAATGGCTTTTAATAATTGCTCATTTTATGATGATTTCTTGAAGATTCGGCAAACATTAAGCGGAAGTATTATTTGTTTCACATTTAACAGCAAGTACACGCGCCATTTGCTGGATTAAATGGAACGATGCCCTACAAAACTAAACCGCTTTATGAAGCTTAGGGAGTGGACATGCTTTTAGCCATGATTAAAATCTGGATGTTACAGGATTTGAACCCAGGACCATCAAGCTATAGCTTCATTCTATTTCTCAAATGGTTTTAGGTGATCTGTATATATTCACAGTTTAGTCATTAGAAAAATCCTGGTGTCAAAAGATTTGATCCCAGACCTGGAATTGGAAAGCTACAATGGCGTATCTAGGTAGCCCAGTATAAGAAATTGACAGGAAGATACAATAAGAAGTGGGAGGGCTGTTAAATGGGGAAGTCAGCAAGATATTAAGTGATTCTTAAACTTCCTGATTGTAAATTTTTGCTCAGCAAGAGTTCAGCAGAGAGGAGGGCACCAAATGGAGGGGGCAGAGATAGTCTACTTCATTTCACAGCTGTTACAGGGAGGATGACCGTGGATTCTATTTAAGAAAAGTCATATTCTCTAGAACAATCTTAAATCGAAATAAAATAATTATTCTGTTTTTGCATAAAAAATGTTCTTTTTGGCAACGGAAGTCTGATTGCAACGTCTTGCAGTCACGTTCCTGGCTCGCTTGAGACATTTTAGATGCCTACAGTGAATCAGGCTTTCCTGTTGAGTTTACAGCAAAGATAAAGTACATATAATTATCAGATATATTGTGTAAAGGTGTTTGCTGTTGCCTATATAAGGCAGCATAGTCTACATACATTGGCACCAATTTTACAAGAACTTGCCAAATAATCTGTTAAGAATGAGTAAGATATGCAGATGTTTAAAATATTGTGTCTTTAGGGGTTTTATGTTAATGTGCATTTATTTGGGAAGTAGACCCTGTTTACGGTAAGATAGATTTTACACAAATTATATGAGGGTTTGCTTGTATTTGAGAACAAAATATAGTATATTATTGTTAAGGGGGGATGTATTTGTATTTGGAGTGGGGTTTTCACATGTTAGGTGTGGGGGTGTATTTGTATTGAAATGAAAGTGTAATCGTAACACTTATGTATTGTTTTTTAGAAAGAAGGATTTTTTAAAGGGGAAATGTGAATGTGGGTGTAAGGAGGGTGTAGAGAGGTGTGTAGATTAGGTTTCTGTAACAAATTGAAAATTGTATACATACTGTGTGTTTCATTCTCATGTCCTTTTGGATAGCGTGGAGCAGGAACAGGGCGAGAGCTTTGACCATCACCACGCCCTCTTACACCACAATCTGAGCCTCCGCTGTATCTACACGATGACTCTTGTTTGATGAGTTGACTCAAGTTTGCCTTGGTTTGGTTCGGACTCAAACTCATTTCTGATGAGGAGCTTTCACCGGAAATATTTCGCACTCTTCGTTTTGGAATAGGAGATGGATTTGGGGAATCGGATCGCTAAAGATGTAATAAAAGAGTGTTTGTAATAAAAAGTAATATGTTTAAAACTAATATAAAAATAATAACAATAATAACTACTATTAATGGTTTTTTTTAACCATTAACTTGTGTTGACAAAAACTCAGTAAGAAGATATGATGCAAAAACTAAAAAGAAGGGGAAAAAAATCATTTTGGGGAATGTGTTGATTAGTGAGTGTCAGAGAATATAATTTTATTACGTTATGGCAGACAGAGATCATTAATTTTATCATTACTCATAACGTTGGCGAGATTCTTCTCTCATAATGTTTCCTATGACATTTATTGCAATGCGATAAACAACACTAATGTACAGATGTTTCATGTGCTCAGTAAACCAAAGCGATCACTCTAGCATTTAAAGTCATGCCTGTTGCGAGTGAATCGCGTCAAAAATGCGCAAATTTTATAGCAATTTCCGGCCATCGTAAACTGGCGCAAGACCCTAGTCTACTTCAAGTGTATGCGAACTGCGGGGAAGTGGCACTGATTGGTACAGTATGCCAAGCAGTTGATTGCCTAATCTGAACGTGGGATGTAACATGTATTTATACGAAGACAAAAATCATTCACAATTCAACCAAAACACCCACATTTATGTTGCGCTAAGATAAAATAAAACTTAAATTGATAAATAAATTGACCAGTTATCAGCTAATTTTCACTGTAAAAATTTGCAAATAAGATTTAAATTTGTTATATACAGATTTTTAAATAACTTCATTCAAATGAATTTTGTGTGCAGCAAATATTATTTTCCCCGACATTATCATAATTAGCGATTAGCTGCAAAAAAAAAAACAAACAAAAAAACATTATTACAAGAAATAAAATTATCAAATTAGGCACTAAAACATAACTTAATCATAAAATTTTATTTTAAAGAGGCAAAGTTTGGGTCCTTGATGTTCCTATAAACTCCTTAAGCTGACCTAAATGTTCTTTCTGCTATAATTATTGCATACGATTTTTCATAGCTTATATACCTGTAACTAATGTTTTGGAAACTTATGTTAATACAACCTCTGGGGTTTGATGTTTCATTGACTTTATTTTTATACCATGTAATATACTGACAGATAAAGATTTTAGAATTGAATTGATTTGAATTGAGTAGAGTTCTTTTTTAGATGCTGTGCAATTTAGATTGTAATAAAATCATTTGTTTGGAAGGCAAGTACTTTATCCACCAAGTCCTCACCTCAACAATATCTAAATAACAACAAATAAAAGTATGTATTTTGCTAACCTGTGATACATTCTGCAACACCTGGTCAATTGCCACATTCTCATAATACCGATCACGTGTTTGTTGCCGTGGTTTCATCATCACATTCATATATGTGTCACTTCCATTAATGGGCTGGAAAACTACCTCCGTATTTTGGATTTTCTCTCTCATCATGTGACATTTTTCCATTGTGATGTTGATAGTTGGGGTTACATTGTGACTGCGAGCCTTATGAAGTGTCGATGAAGGAGATGTGTTGGTGGAGGAGCCGCTTTTTTCATCCGTACTGCTCTCGTGTCCACTGTCTCGGTTCAAATAACTCCTTGGCAGTGGAATTGGTTTCCTGTGTCCCTTACTATCTACTTCTTGGCCTTTGTAATCTAGAGTGCAATTTTTAGGGCTTTTTTGTCCATCCTGCAATTTTGACATATCATGTTTCCTCAAATTCCCTGATGACACTCTACACAACTTCAATTTAACTGCATTTTCACACACGATATCTGGGGTCATTGACCTTAAACTGGGATCATAATCTTTGAGAATTGATTGGATATCGCTGAGCCTACTGCCAGCAGAGGATTCCGACGATATCGATAACTGTTTGACAAGTTTTGATTTATGCATAATTTTCTCAATTTCGTGACGATCAATCTTTTTGGCCGCACCACCCTCCTGCTCCTTGTCATCTGCAGTTGTTCTGTCATTTGGCACAGTGCCAGGTGCTCTCTCAAGCTCCTCGTATCCATCAACAGATGACTTTCGACATACACGGTTCTGCATAGATTTCATAGCCTGTGCGAGTTCTGTTAAACCTTTACCACTGGTGATCGGTGCCCCTAAGGACACAACTTCATACGTTATTTTTTTTGTGTCGTTTGAAGCTGATGTCGGAAGGGACTGGCAAGCTCGTTCACGTTCCGCTTTCTGTGCTGCTTGAACAGATTGTGGAATCTCCATGAAAGGCTCATCATCACTTGAAGAATAGTCGTCATGCGTTAGTTCTTCACCAGTTGAATCGTACCTCTCTTTTCTCGACTTGATAGCGTCTGCGAGTTCAGTTTCGTTAATGAGCATCTGGTGACCTCGTGTTGGTGTTGATAGAGCTCGACGACGTGGCAGTGACCCTCCTGGCGATACTTGTAAATTCTGGAAAAAAAAAGTCCTCTTTTTCAGGCAATATCCATAAGTACTGTATATCATATATGTCTATATTTAGAATTACATTACATATTATTATTATAATTCATATTATTTATCTTAAATTGTTTTTGTTACTTCAACTTGATATTATGTTCGATAATTTTAAATGTTCACCTTGTTATTCAAGATTATAATGTAATTACTTATTGACAGATATAAGTATTCATTTTCTATATCAATAATTCCATCCCATTCCGTTTGATTTAAAAATAGCTCAATACATCAATAATCTTTAAAGCATGTATACTTATAAATAGCAGAGTTTCCAAAAATAGTTTGCATTGCTCTACAAACTATGAATTTTAATAACTTAATCCATGCTTGTGTACCTCAGGTTTCACTTCATGATTATGTTTAACATGCAAGGGGTCTAATCTAAAGGAAATAGTGTGTATATCGCCTTAACAGCTTTATCTTCTCAGCTCATCCTACCTAGGCCGTACACCCACTATGAAATTATTTCCATGCGAACATGATACAAAAATACCCGTGGTGCTTTAATGAGCAGAAATTACTTTGAATTCTAGCACTTCATTTGAACTTTAATTTCAAGTTCGAACATTAATTAATTTATTCGTGGAAATGTATTTGTCGGTTACATGCAAACTATCAGGTTATTTATAGATTAAGAAATGAAAGATGGGTAAATCATCTTTATTCAGTTTCTTTGAATATATAAAAATGTTGTATATGTTCATTTGTTTTAATTTTTTTTTTTGATAATAAAAGTAACTTAGAATGAGTTAAAGTACCATTACACATTTTTGATAATACCGAAAGTGTTAAAATTATTGAAAGTAATTTGTGTTGTATATGTTCATTTGTTAAAAAAAAAAAAAAAAATTTAAATAAAATTAACTTATGGTGAGTTTAAGTACCATTACAAATTTTTGATTAAAATTATTGAAAGTAATTTGTGTTACACAACAGCATGGCACTTTGTAAGTTTATGATCATAGTTCATAATTTGGCATCCACCCATCAATTGTTTAATTCATATTTATAAAATACTATTATCAATAATTATATTAACAATACATAAGTTAATTTTCTTTGAAGTACATAATGGAGCCCCAAGTTGCAGGAGTTTCTTTGAAAATGACATGGTCTTCTCTACCACAGTGAGCAAGGTTTTCTGTACACCCATGAGCAAGCTTAAATCCCCCACACACTATTGCAAATTTATCAAAGATATTACCACACACTCCCAAATACATTAAAATATAAGCTAATTTAAACCAGACCTCTATGAAACAGCTTCTCCTTACTTGGACCCCTGCATATTTATCATCTAGGCCTCAAATTTTAAGTTTTAGTCCTAGAAAATTAGGTCAATAATACAAAAGTTGTCCTTCCTCCTTTCCTGGTACAAGAATTCGCAGTGACCCTTGTAATTTTAAGAACTTGGCTTCATTCCTATTAGATCAAGGGCAGTAATTGTATAGTTGAACTATACAAAATTGACCAATGAAGATACACCATCAAAAACAAGCCTTCAAAATACCATATTTGGTCATGGTCATAATCTGCAGAATAATATAGGCGCCACAGGGAAACCTCACAAACCCTAGATTGACAGCAGGAAGAGATGATTGTGAATCAGAGCTTTGAGGTAAAGATTATATAATTTAATGTATAATCCTATTACTATATACTATATTATTATTATATTGTACACTGCCATAAATCTCACTTACCTCACTAACAGTACCACCATCTTCATCATTGAGTTCCAATGTATTAGGCCTTGCTTTTGTTAAGTCTTTCCTCACCATTTCGGGACTTGGTGCTGGACTAGGTGACGAGGAACATGAACCTGTATCAGCCACAGCTTGCCTCCTGCCACGTGCTCTCCTCTCAACCGTTTGTCTCTTTCGTAAACGAGGTTGGGGGCTCAACTCGGGTGAGCTTGCGAGCAGAATTTTCTTTGAATTTCCAGGTGGACTTTCATTTCTTTCAACACTGCTCGGCTCTCTGTTTTCTTCATTTTTTTTCCGGCATGCTATCTCAATTGGTAATGATACTCCCTGTGTTACACCCCCTGTCACAGCTCCTGTTTTCTTCGGAGACGATTTGGAATTTTTGCTTGTGTCTTTATTGGAAGCTGCTGCATTTTTAGCTTGGTTCTTCTTCAAAAATTTCCCTCCGCCAAATTTTGAAGGCAGACTGGGAAGAATTCCCGCCAATATCGACTTCTTCGTTGGAGTACTTTTCAAAGGTAGTGGCGATGTCGGTGGAGAGGAAGATGAACTGAGTGCAATTTTAGCTGGTGGAGGAGATAGAGGTCCGTTGGTGCTGACAACATTTGGAAACTTGGATTGGCTTGGTTTGGTTACAGTTGGATTTGTATGTACTGGGAGGTTATTGTTGGTGGATTCTTTTTCACTACTTTTCCTTTGCCAAAAAAAAATATGATACATTAAAATTGCAATTGATATTAATTTATATCATTTATGAAACTGGTGAATATTTTTCATTATTTCTGTATCGAATAAAAGGTATTAATGACGTACACAATGTTTTCAAAAACTAAATGTTCAAAAAACTATATAATATTCTAATTTATGACATTAAAATTAAATAGAATTTACTAGGGTATAAAATGAATGTTTTAGCATAACGGTGATGAATATGAATCTAAGTTTGTGGAAAAGGAATTGTTTGTAAACTTACAGACTTGAAGTCGGCTGTTTAGGGGGAAAGACAATCGTACTGTAATTTACATTATGGGATGTCTGCTGTATTCGAATAACTGGATGGCCATCATCTCTCCTATTTAAAAAACATGATTCAAATTTTTAAATTCAAGTATTTAAAATGTGAATTCCCAGAGGGTGAGAAAGCCTCTCCCATATTCATACACCTATAATTTTGTGAAAATGAAGAAAAATATTTCTTTCTCCAACTTATTTGACCCTCACTTAAATTTAATATCAGGTGATGTGAGATACCTTTAAGAAATCGCCAGTATAAAATACAGTGTGTTTACAGATATAAGATCCAAATGGATCATTTTTAATACAGACCAGTTGGCAAACATACAACTAACCAATTATCAGAACTTACAGAGACGATAAAGAGAGACCATTAGCATCAATCCATCTTAAATCAATTAAAACTCAAGATAAAACATGTACCTACCCTTGCTTTGGTGGGCCAATTTCCACTTCAACATAATTTAATTTATAACTATCTGAAAAAGTGATGAAAAAAAACTTCAATATAGTTTCAAATGGTGCTGGATATCTTCATAGGACAGACAGGTTTTTTAAAGGACATACTGGGTGGACAGTTATCAATGACAACTCGCACTAACTCACTCTAAGTAGCTTGACGATAAGTTTAATTAATTAGAATTGCCTACGACCAATCATGTGACCCTAATTGCTGTACAGTTTCTTGTATGATGCTTTCAAGTGATAATTTAATCAAATTCAAATGACTATATTTAATAAATTTAATTAAATCCCATATGTGAGCTATAAATATATTTCATATCTATTTCTCCTCTAATCGGTAATGTGACCAAGTTCTAGATCCTTCAATTTCAATGCAAACTAGAAAATCTGATTTGTATTAATTTAGAAAATTTAGTCTATCTCTTCAGAAATATCTATAAACATAGATATAGTTAAAGGAAAACATTAATTATTTGTATTAATATATTAAAATTATATCTGATTTTGGCAATTAATAATATACATTCTCATTTTTGAAACTTGTTAAGGTTAAATGCATAAAGCATTTCTCATACATGAATTTCAAGTTTATAATGAAAGGAACAAAGTTATTAAAACATGTTTAAAATATAGTATTAATAACTAATAAAATTTATACATTAATAGACAATAATACTTAAAATAAAAATGACAAAATCAGTTAATTTACAATAATAATAATATCTATATTATAACAATAATAAAATTGACTGTACTTTCATACAATTATTGTTCTAATAATAACAGAAATATAACAATAACTATCAAAAATAAGACATAATAATAAATTATAACAATAATATATAACCATAAAAACAATTATACGAAATATAAAAAACAACAACAACAACATCAACAAAAACAACAATATTTAAATATTGATATTAATCAATCCTTTCCTAGCGAATAATAACAATGAAGACAACAAATACTGTATAACAATCAACAATATGTACATACAGTTTTTTATGCATTCTTTCCCAACATTATTAAAATGTCCTACACACTAGCAGCATATAAATGAAACAAAGTTCTCACAGCACAAAACTCACATTGCTAATAATCAATGCATGTCAAATACCTTTAAACTGTTCTTGTTACATAACTACTTTAAAAATCAAATTTCTATCATCACAAAAGAAGTGTATGCCCCACTTTGAATAGATTTACTGAATTTAATAGATAAAGAGGATGCTCCTAGGATGATTCAGAGACCAGGGACAGACACTCACACATGCCTGCTGCAGTTTACTAATCAAAATAAGGACATCACATGCATGGCTATAGAATCTGTAACTGAATGACACGGATGCTACAATAACGATAATTGCGTGACATACGCTGCAATTAGTAAGTCATGGCTATAAATACAATTTAACTATTAATAATTTCTTTTAAACTTGTCAAAAAAAAATAACAATTTTTTTAAAACTGATATTTTGGCTTAATCTTTCTCATTTTGTAATATGATCACAATAATACTTTAAGCCCTTTCTGCCAAAAAAATGAATATGAGTCTATTTAGCTGATATTAAAAGGTAAACAATTTTTAAATCTTTCTAACATTATCTTTTGGTGCAAAATAACTAGTGAAAATTTATTTTGATTACAGTACTTTTTTTGAGTGTTAAAAGGAAATCAGCTTATAATATTTTAGAAATTACTTAAGGGAACAAAACAGTTTTTCAAAAGAAGCAGATGAGTTAGTAATCATCGCTAACCCTAAAGTAATTCCATAAATAACTCAAAGCTGAAATAAAAGGACAATATCACTTTCATTCTTATGAATAGGAAAAATAATAGAAAAGTTTGATGGATTGTGAAGGGTGATTCACTCACTTGAATATTTTAATAATAAACATACTGTGTAGACATGCGCCCTTGCGCTCTTCGATGCACGTCTCAAAAAATGAAATATTTTTTATATCATGGTTTATACCTTTTGACATCTAGATTTTTAAACATATGCTGATCCTCTGTAAGTGACAATTTAAAAAATGCGACTTTGTTCATCATCACTACCATCCTTCTAATCACTGGGTCATGGGTTCAAATCCTAAAATACCTCTCTTCGCATGGATTGAATCCTTCCTGCACTTGTACTAAGATTCCGCAAGAATTTTTACCCACTAACTTGGAAAATAAAGACAGTCACCTCAGCAATTATTTACACCACAACACTTTTTGGGATGGGTTTGAGCTACTGTAGCATCACTACTCTATCTTTTCTGGAAGAAGTGATTCCAGTGAAAGATTTCTTCTCAGTGCTACAACAACTCTACCCCCTAAGCATTTATATTGAGAATTAGTTTATAGCTAGTTGTTTCATCCTGCAGTCATCCTGAGTCAAAGAAATAAAGATAATTTTTTAAAAATTAAGTCCTGTAATGGACTTTATTTTGACTCACTTTTTCCACTCACTTCCTTAAGTATCAGAAGGTATTCTGCAGGCATTCTGTGACTAATGATTTCCACAGTACTAGCAACTTAAATAATTATGGGAATTACTTATAAGTTTAACACTTTCTATACAGTATAGCAAAACAACCTGGGGATTATAACAGCTTACTAATATAAATATCACTATTATCAAATTTACATATCCTTAGTTATCCTATAAAGTTAATATCTATTATAGCTATAAATAAACCTGTTATTTTGTATAGGATTATAAATTAATAATTCTCTTATAACTTAATCTTATTAATCATGTAAAGGTTAAGAATATGCAAGTCAAGAATTTTATTTGTTGTTTTATAATGATAATGAAAATAACAATGATTATAACAATACAAAATAGTAGCAAAAAAAAAATAAAAATACTGTATCAATAAAATAATAATAACAACAATCACAATCTTGTTGAACGTCTGTAGACACTTGTACCCATCTGTCAACAAGACACTTGCACGTGATGTATCATTCATATTCGCAGAACTTTTAAATCGTAAAGTGCCAAATCTGAATGTACCAATACGAAACTAAGAGAGAAATCAAAACACAGGAGTCAACATGGTGACAGCCTTCTGAGGGCAGAGACAAGCGGGTGAATCACAAGCGCCGCGTAATAAAGCACGGATAAATCGCAATTTGAATCATCGTAGTTCAAAAGTGTATGGTGCAGTATAAGCCAAGTTGGTTTCACTTCTTTACATGTTGAACATTCATAATGAGTAGTCAAATATATCGGTCAAGTTTTCCCAACTCTTCCAATCCAACTAAATGCACGTACACGGCCAGTCAAACCAAGTTTGGTGCTATATTGATGGGGCCTTTAAATATTCCGTGGGGACTGCATTATGTACGATCACGACGGTCATGTTTCCCTCTCCCAGTTGTTACGAGTCATTTTTTGGCAAATTGCTGGGATTATAATAAGTTCACTGGACAAAACGACCAAATAGGTCAGCGAAAGGACAGCAACAGAGAAATCATATTTTGTATGTAAAAAAGTATAGTTAATCATCGTCAAGCTTTATTACTAACCAGTATAGTAGTAGTATGAATGAAAGTATGAATTTTACGACTGAACAAGTTAAGATACAAATGCAAATATAAAAATAAACAATAGCTGATACTGGACCTAAATGATGTGGGAGGGGTGAGTGACTCCTTGCAAATTTTTTAGGGTTATATTAACAACTCATTGAGTTTACCAGAAAGCTAACAAAAAAACAAACAAAAAATAGAGTTGGGTGTTAGTAGGATAAGCAGTAGAAATGGAAGTCTCATCCATATAGAAATTTCCAGCATCCATACTGTAGTCTTCATGAGCCCTATAAATTACCCCGAATAATTATATTATCATTGTAGCATTCAATCAATAATTATACTATATAAATCAGATATCTGCAGTAATATATAAAAACAAAACTTAAAATATCATAGCATTATATTTGATGTGAATTTTACCTTTTGTTTTGAAAATGTGTTTATTTCGTCTCTTATGGACATATCTTGATGCTGTGCGCATCAGTTCTACCGAAACTGAAGAAATGTTGTTTATTAATGTCAAATGTCTGGTTTCCAGTCAGCAGTTATTCATGCGTTAGTTTTAAAAGACTCAATTCACATGCTTTATGAAACAAAGCATCCAATGTCCATATGGAAAAATTTCATAATCAAAAAATTTCAAACATCCCAAGAAATGTTTGTCAACAGATTTCTGCCGACTCAATTCACTACCCAGTCATCCATAGAGAATTTGGATTTCAACACACTGCTAACAGTTACTAAAAACAACATGCAATTAATTTTGTAGCTTTGTTAAGCAGAATTTAGAATTGTGTTATTGAAATGTTTCCTATTGGCAATTGTTGTGGCTTACATCCTCAGTTTGTTTATAATTATAACAAATAAAAATCTAAATTGAATTGATTGAGTGAACTTCACTTCCAATAAAAATTGATGTAAATGAGTGAAGTGTGTCTAAAATATGTCCTGAGTTAATTATGCAAAACACTCACATGTCAGCACGATATTGTCCAAAAATACTTCATCATATTTTCATGACTTTAACACAAAGCTAAGTTGACAAGAAATGAGGCCTAGTTTCGATAATGTCAAAACAGCGGGATTGTTGATGTCTAAATTGTTGATTAAAATACCTAAATATAGTAAACACAAATGCATGTTATTGTATTGTTTTTCATTCTTTAACAACTCTTAACAACAATTATTTTGTGACCATGTTTTTTTTTAATGTACTATAACATTTCCTTACTGTTAAGGAAAACAGTTCTGTGTTTTACACACTACTGTATGGCGAGAAAAATACTTGACAATTTAATACCAACAGAAAAAGACTGCACTGTATATCCATGTGTTTTCCTCATTTGGTTAAGTTTTTCATAGTTGACTAGTATGTGAACTACTAACTTACTAGTAAAAACATAAAGTAATGTCATTTACTTCTTTTGTTAAAACTACAGTACAAACATGTTAACATGATCGTCATCATCATCCACCTCATTTCATTATCATCATCATTCACCTCTCAACCTCAACTGCCTCATCATCATCGCTTTTAAGAATAATTTTGTTAAGCATTTTATATCTTTTAATGCTTCTGATTAATTTCTGATTGTTTTTTGTTTTAATTAGTGTATTTCATAATATGAAGGATAGGGAGCATATCTTGTTTATGCTTTCGCCCATTCTCTATTCAGGCAATACATGTTACTTTAATTCTGTATGCTTTTGCTAAATAAAATATTATTATTATTATCTGCATCATCATGACCAACATCATCTACCTCATCAGCATCATCACAATTCACCTCATCCTCAACTTCATCATCCATCTCATACTCAACATCATCATAATCGTTATTCTTCCCACAATTATTCATACTTTTATATCTGCAAACTACATCCATTCACAGAATGAAAAACATGTCATATCAACATTACACCACATTTACACAGGTATCTTTTAAAAAAACAAACCATAATTTAAATACCATATGTTACTTCCAAGATAAAACACTGAAATCCAAAGAATCATGTCCTTAAAGAGAATGACCACTGTCTTAACAAAATATACATCCACCATCTACATTCAGCCTCTTTCATTAGACTTGATCATATTATTATCTGGCCACAATATAATTATATTTAATTATAGTTACAAAAAAAGAGAACAAAGGAAAGTTTACCACTTAACACTCACAAGTTGTTTACAAAAATCTAAACAATTGAATAAATTGCTAATCAGTCTATGATCAATAAACAACATTTATGAAAAAAAATCTAAATTATATTTTTATTTATATAGTTTTAAAGTGGAAAAAGCTCCTATCACACAATCTAAAATACCCACAGAACATGTATACCAAAAATTACTAATTAAATGAATTAAATCTGTCTAAAATAGTGATAATAATACTGTAGGAAAAAAGAATAATTAAAATGATGAAGTAAGCCTACCTCTTTCAAATGATGACTGCATTGCGCAGGTTGGCCTAGCTATAGGCTGACTTAGCATAGTTCCTAAAAAAATCCGATACTGAATACAATTTGACAAGCTAGAAGTTACACGGCTTATATACCGTGATTAAAGTCACATGACTTCCTATGAATCGCTCAGGCAAATCACTACTCATCTGCTTGTTGGTGACTGCTGTCGGCAGTAGCCTGGATTGGCGTCCAGCAAGTGTTGCGTCACCAGCATCTCAGAGATTTGCGTTCCAAGGACAAAATATAGGGCAAATCTATAACAGGCAGGATAGCATTCAGTGAACACATCAAATATTCAAACCCTATTGTACCATTTAAGAATATCTCCATAAATATGTTCAGATTTAAGACAATAGAAAAATTTTTTCTTTAGAGTTCATTCAATGGTCATGTGAGTAATATTTTATGCCTTCTGATCATTTTTTTTTATGAAAATTAAATCTCAAAAATGTATTTATTATAAACATGGTGTTTAGTTCATAGTGGTATTGTGCAAAATGCACTAAAAAAATATTTATTATTTAATATCTAATAATTTTCTTCTGTTATTATATTTGAAGTAGTCAAAATAATATTGGTTAATTGTTTGCCCAATATTAAAGCAAATAATTTAATTAACCAAATATTAAACAGAAATTTAGATTTAGTAATCTGGTAATTTTTGGAACTTTTGACATTTATAAATTAAATTATATAATGTCACTCCAAAAACTGACAAAGCTATTTTATTCTACATTTTGCTTTTATTAAGGATCATTAGGAATAATACATAAAAAGAGACAAACTATATACAGTAGAAATTACCAGAAATCCTAATTACTATGCATATATTTAAATGAGGCAACTATCCAATCAGAGAATTTACATTCTATATTTGAAGATACTGTTATTTTGCTTAATTATCTACTTAATTTCTAAGCTGTATAATAATTTTCACCACATTTTTCAAAGTAATCAAATTACAAAACAAAAAAGGATGAAAATGATATAACTACTAAATTTACCTTATTAATTTTGTTTTAGGGAAAGCAATGTTGGTTGGATGTTTGGACTCACAGGCAATTCTGGGGTTCAAATTATGTTTTAAGTTGAATGAAAAACCTATTTTGTTATGATATTGAAATATATTAATATAGATTTATTCTAATTGAAACATTATTCAACATTTGTTATCAGACGTCAAGTTGATTCAATCATACAGAACATTCTCCAAGCTAGAACATGAACTTTCAAATTCAATGGGAACAAATTTAGGAATCGAGTTAAGTTTAAGGCCATGTTAAAAAAAAACACTCCTGACAAAAGGCCAGAAGTGAAAAACAAAATCTGTATGACGCTACTTTTAACATCACACTATCACAATAAGGAAAGTATTGTCTTGTTCTAATTTTCAATTGAAATATAACTTCCAAATAATTTAAATGTAATTTTTTTTTTTTTTTTGGTTAACATACATTTTGATACTTTACTTAATTTGTAGCTATGGTTTTGTTCGCATTAATAATGACTTGAAATACAGAAACCAAATAAAATTAATAAAATTGATCTACTGTAATTATATAATTGGTAACCCAACACAAAAATATATTTAGGTTTGATATTATTATGTATCTAGTTGGTATTTTTGTGCGTGCTGGTTGGCACGTACAACAGGGTGGGTTTGTTAAATTTGTGTGAATCATTGTATGTATTATATTATGGGGTCTCAGCCAGGAAAAACAAATTCATGAACTTATATATATTTCCAAAGCTAAGCGGCATCATGCGCATAAATGCATATATAAGTTATTTCCCAATAACTTATGCGGCAGTTTGAAGTTTTATTACTTTTATGGTAAGGCGGGATGTATACATATACTGTATGTACACAATAGTCATTAAGAACTAGTGCTGTTCAAATATGCATGTGTAAGGGAGTGTGAAATATAGCTGCTTCTTCTAATCAGATTTGAATTCCCAAAAAAGCCCAGGTGGTGGCCTAGTTGATTGACTGCAAAATGTCCTGAGATGAACTCCTGGAGGGGAAACTTTATTTTTAACACTCACATTATACTTTACTATTTATGAGTGTCAAGTGATTACCATATGACAAAGTAACACGTCGGTGACTACTTACAAACATGTAATACAAACTAAAGTAATTATTAGTACAAAAAAAGTCTACATATTTTTAACTACACATAATGTGAAATGCCTTTAACCTTTTTTTTTTTATTAAATTAATGTCACAAATAATGTCACAGCCTTGAACATTGTGACCATTCAACTTGAAAAAACTTAATTGTATTGACTCCTGCACTGCAGTAAAGTTGTCCAAATTGTCACATCAATTTCACCAAAAATTTAACATTAAAATTAAGTATGTGACTCATGAATATACTAAAATTTTAGCCAAAATGTACAAGTGACTTGGCTGCAGTGAAAGTATTAATCTTTGCATGACCTAAATAAACGCATTTCGCTTTTATTTATTTATCAGTGACTGGCATTGGTTTCAATTTACCACAGTCCTTTGTAGATAACTTTGAACAATTATTCGATGACCGAACAAAATACCGAATTTATTGTAAATCCTGTGAATTAGTTATTATATACATTAAATAATGAGAAGCACTAACAATCCAAGTATTAAATTTGTTTACAATTTCATCACAAAATTATTATTATATTAGTAGTATATCTTATTGTAATCATTATATTATCATATCACTAGAATTGTACTTCTATCATTAGCATTATTATTCACTTAAATCTTATTCCTTTTTATGATTATACAAAAATTTCATAATTAATATCAAATTTTGGTTATTAAAAGGATGAATGTCAAACATAACAAAGCAGCAATGGCTAATTAACAGCTCATTTACATAAACTTGATAAATCCACTATTATAGTGAGTCATTACTGTATTATAAGGAATATGATTATCAATTTCACAACTGGAAACCTAGAAAATAGAGGGCAGCAAATAGACACATGCTTTTGTGAATCAATCTCCTCCTGATCATAGCTATGTGTGGATATCTAGGAATCTTGAAATGGGCTTTAGGGTGGTGGGTGGGGGAAAAGGCGGCTGATATGGGGTGAAAAGTTGAAGTGGCGAACACGATGATTGAGTAAGTGGGCGCTCACAAAGTAAGGTGATATGACATGATTTTTATCTAATTGAGTGTTATTTTTTTGCTTCAAACTTTTTCAATGGAGGAGAGACAACATTTTCTTTTTTTGAGGGGGGGGGAGAGAGGGGTGGAGGTATCATATTCCCCTTGCACCTTCTCCTAGATACACTCAAAGATTTTGGTGATATTAGCATAAATTATATATTCATATTAGGGTTTCTATATGTTAGTTGAATTAGATTTAAAGCTACTAACCAAATAATATGATGTATGTCAATGCCAATGGTATTCCTGCATTACTACGGTATGTTTTGAAAATAATTTTTTTTTAAACTGTGAATAGACATGGCATATTACTTTGTGTAACTAGTACTATCAAAAGTTGTGTTTATATTGAAACTGTTTAAGAGACAGCTGTATTAGAACTAGTTTCTGTTGTATTATTAAATTTATATTTATAAGTATGAAGTGTTTATAGAGCCAACGTTATAATCTAATGGCTATTCTATTCTATACTCTTTCTGAAGTGCCGATCAGAAAATGTTATGGTTGTATATAAACTGGCTTATACAAAACAGATTCTGAAGTGCTGCCTCTAGATCCTAGCAAAGGCTTATTTACCAGTGTTTATAATGTATACACTAAAATATAATTGTTACAAAGCTAATAAAAACGCTAACTGTGGAGCTCCTTCGCTCTAATGCAAGTCAATTTGTTTTTATCTCATTGGGCAAACCAGCTCACCACACTGCTAACTACTATAATACCATAGCGATCCAGTACTGTGTGTTTGTCATCAGTAATGTAATAACTTTCACTTTTGTTCTACTTGCTTGCGAGAATGCTTTGAACGTGCTGGTGCAGTTCCAGTCGGACTCCTTGCCGCCTTATCATCAAAGGAATTAAACTCCAATTTTGTTAAACGTAAAGTCTATTTATATATTAGATCTTTTGAAACCGACTTCTATGAAAATAGCATTCATAGAATCTTTTTAACCACTGCATCAGGCATAGGAAATTTAAAAGCGACGTGCGATGTACATGGCGCCGCTTGACTCACAGCTTTCAAACCACACAATAATGGCCCTGTCATGTTCCATTTTAATAAATTTTCACTTTGTATATATTGTAACAAATTTTAGTCTGTCATGGAGCAAATTAGTAATCTATTAATAGACCAAGAGCTGAACTATTTTCTTTGTTAGTGAGAAATGTGATGCTGGAAATTTCTAAGTTATTACAAATGTTGAGCAGCATTGAAAAAATTGGAATTGTATCTACTCTGTGAACAGTAATTGTTTATAAGAAAATAAATAAAAAAAACTTATTTTTGTTATCTTAAGTTATCTTAAGTTATCTTTCCGTTTTAAGTCAAAACATACAAAATGCTAATGTTATGGTCATGTATCCTGTAGTCAACCTGTTCTAGGAATCTATGTAAATAGTGATATTATTTATTTTACTTCTAGGCACAAGGCCAAGGATATGCAAACAGCAAACTATTGTGTTGTACAGTAGTTAGATTGTAAATTGTGAAGCTCTGGCCTCACTATCAAATTTCCTGACAAAAAAAAACTGTTGTATGCCCATATATAGTCATGATGTGCCTATATATGGTCATGATGTGATGTCATCATGACCATATTTGGGCATGTTGCATATGCTTTTGTTTAGTCAGGCATCTTAACCATCAAGCTACAAATCAATAATTAAAAAGTTACACAGCACTATACAAACTTGATTGACACTAATCATGGAGGTGTAAAATAATGCACTAACCAACTAAATTTACAATGCTTGTACACATGTGCAGACCAAGTGGTCCACTGATTATATTTAAATAATATAAGATCATGCACTCCAAAAAGACTAAGAGAAGCCATCGTCATTCAATATTTCGTTCTTTATTTGAACATCATCAGGAATGAAGATAATTTTGTCCATAAGCAACATATACCAGAAATGAGATAACTAACCAATCAAAATATAACATAACTAACCAATTAAAAGCTTCTTTAAATAATAATTTAGACCAGTGTCTAGAAGTCAATAACTTTGGTATTATTGAATATTAAAGAATGATAGTTAGCACCCTGAACATTATCATAATCACCATCAATAGAGTATGCATGGTTAAGATACGTTGGAAACCATCACATGAATTTAAGTGATCAAAACACTATTAGGTCATGTTGAATGTTCTTTTATTCTAATTGTTAGACATCACTATTAGATTTCTGTCTCCATGTGTTACAGAGGATATGCCTTTTTGAAAATATATCCAGTGGCAGATCCAGGAATTTGAAATAGATGGGCCCAGGTAGGGACTTTCACAAATGGAGGGTGTAAACCACAGGTGGGGAAAGTGTGGTCCGCGGGCTGCATACGGCCCAACAGCGATTTCTTTTTTTGCAGCCCGCGAATATGAATTAAAAACCCTATGTGTGCAGTCCACCAAGCGCCGTTGGCTAGAAAACACCTTGTTTTTCACGCCCTGTTTGTGATTTCAGCTTGGATGTTTCAATATTCTTTTTAAATTCAGATCCTGCTTTTACTTTCCAATTATATTCTTATTCTACCTAATAAATGGAAAATAATTAAATTCCTATTTTTTATAAACTAATTTGTCAGAATAATTTGTTATTTTTTATTCCACAGCCATACCGTATTTTAATTAAATTGATAACTGTGCAATTGTATATAATACTATTAATATTATTATTTATTTTTTTGGAAACATCAGTGTAAAATAATAATCATGCCTATTGATAATAATTCTAAATTTCATTTCATTCCTTAAGATCTGTCTACACTATCTACATATATGGGCATGACAGTTTCATGACTTCATACCATGGTATGATGTCATGGTATGATTTCATGACATCACACCATGGCCATATATAGGTACATCATGACTATATATGGGCATACAACCATTTTGGACAAAGAAAATTTGATAGTATGGACAGAACTTTGGTTTGTCTCAAATATATCTGATCAAACAACTGTATGTTGAGGTCAGGCAATGCTCAACCTACAGCAGACATGGCAGATACAAATATCAACAGCATGTCTAACCTAAATATCATGCCAAAGAATCAAAACTTACTTTATGACAACATTACATTGTGCACAATCTCAAAAATGCATGCACCATTCAATAGTTTAGCAGTTAGGTGAAGCTTGCTCAGACCAACTCCAATCATTCCTTCCATTCCAGTCTGTCAAGCAACACTGACTTTAGTTAACTACATGCAAACATAACAAAAAACAATCAAACAAAAGTTATAATTTACAAAATGCATTAACATTTTTAAATATCTTAATTGTTTAAAATATAATTATCAACTTCCTGGTATATACTGTGTGTAGCTTATAGGCAATTTAATTAAAATCCAAGGCTAATAAGAGAGTGGGCGTTTTTTAATCTGAAACATTTGCTAGCGTCTATTAAGAATATACATTTTGCCTTATAATTCAACAGGAAATCATTTGAAGCTTTATGGTAATGTGATAGGACTATTTCTCAAGCAATTAGGAATTAAATTTACATTGGAATTTGTTGTATATATTTTTTTTTCAGGTTAAAAGTTTCAAGAACACCAAGTTCCACCTCTTTCCCCCATATTGCTCTGAATGAAAAACTTCTTCTGAGTAGCCAATTATTGTAGAAGAATTAAATTAATTTTTAATCAATTTCTTTAAATTAATGACTGATTTAGTTTATGCAGTATCTAGTTGGATTAAAATGTTTTAGAAATTTTAAAAAACAGTTATAAACTGCCCAGCAAACACAAAACATTCTTCTAACGTTTGCGAACATTGTGGTTAGGTTTGTCACAAAATGACGTTAACCCAAATGTTGCAGGAACATTTAAACTTTGACATAAAATTAGGTTCTAAGTATGAATTATAGTTCTACAAAATAATGTTTTCAACACCAAACTTTAACGTTATTATAACATTCTTATAATGTAATATTTTCAGCTGGTTATTTCAATTTATTTATGGCTGACTATATTTGCTCTAATATACATAGCTAAATGGTATTAGGAATATCACGTAAGTGTTCCTACCTGGTTTGTTTGAAACAGGCGTGAGCAGCATCATGATTTTAAATTTCTCCCTGGCAAACTGTAAGCAAAAAAATATATTTCTCAACAAGAGAATGGTTGACACACGTTGAGCTTATTTCAATTGGTTATTGTTGTAATTGGAATTAGTTGAAATAAAATATATCTATAATGATTCAACAATAACCAATTGAAATTACGAGCATTGGAATAGCACCAAATATTTTTGACGCTAAGCTAATAAGTTCTGTGAATACTTTCTTGCATTATATATTCTGAATTAAATCCACTTTCTCGTTTTTATACATCATGGTTATAGATCAGTCGATGATAACTTGGCACAGTCTTTATCAGATATGCATACTCTGCCAAATATATTTAAAAAAAAGTTGTGAAGAAAAAAAAATTTAAAATTATACAATTTTTGAAAGATAGCAGTTGGAGTGAAGCTGTAGCTTGGTGATCAGATGCTGGCCTTCCAACAAGGGGTCAACAGGAATGATAAAAAATACTTCCTAAACCTCAATTTATTCCATCATGTGGCACTCATGTCGCTCTAATTTTTTTAATTGTGACAACATTGATGCCATGGGCCAAACTGACTTGATGTTTGTAGTTAATTTCAATAACAAAAGGTGTTTTGACTAAAAGCAATTACCAGGGCTAGCGGAATGTTTTTCAAGGGGGGGGGGGGGTGGTGGTTCCAACACTTTCTTTTCTTGCATTTCTTCCGATCATACAAAAATTTGCATAGACATTATATATTTTCTACCAAAAAAGTGGGGGGGGGGGACATGATTACTGTAGTACACAGCATTCATTTTCCATATACTAATCAGCCTGGTCTTTGGAATATGACTATACTTCTGCTGCTATTCAAGCAATAAAGACATGCTGTATACATGGCTAATTTTCCAGGACATTATACAGCTAAAGAAAAATTTACACATATTGGTTTATCCATTAAAGAATGTTAATTTAATATCCTTTTATTGCTCCATGATTGTAGTAATATACGGCATTACATTAATGTAGAACAGAAAAAATAAAAGTTCTTCTCAGTGTAATTTAACATAAAAAGCAATAAACAGAATGCCCATTTAGGCAAGACTGGGATAATCACCCACTGTCTGGGTTCATAAGCTTGGGCGACACTTATACAAACGATAAAACTCTATATATGTAAAGCATTTCCCCTTAAATCTGTAGGAAATTCCCCAAATTCTACAGCTTCCTTTCAAATTTAGACATCCACAAATTCTTTCCTAGGTTCCTTAATGCAATTAGTCTCAAAAATCAACTAATGAGACAAAAACAAAAGGGCAACTGTTTGCAATGGGACTACCTTACAATTAAAGTTAATACTTAAATACATAAATAGAATGCAAAGAAGTATAGTACTGTATGTACAGTATTTGCATCATACATATTAATTACACATGTATCTTATCTGTTCTGCTAAAGACAAACGAATTTTATATTGTATTAAGGTATAAAATAAAACCTATTTCAATATAAAAAAATTAATTAATTTAATTAAGTTTAAATAAATGAAACAAAAAGATAATTGATGAATTTGATTATTAAAATTAATTTAATTAGATATATCTATAAATGCATAACTAATAGCTCTACAGCACGATGAGTTATAGAGATAATTAAGTTTGATGGAACAAACGTTTTTACTAAAGGACAAAACCTTTAAAAAATGAAATTTAACTATTTCTTGATAAATCTTCTATAGTTAGTCTATTATTCGCAGATAGATGCAAGTATGCTCTCGAGTATAGGCTCGGTGGATTTTATATAAACTTGAATTGTTAAGAACAAAGGAGTATGTACATTCTATTCAATGTAACATTTATTCACTTCCATCATGCTCGAACAAATTCTCTGAAATATTCTGTGTTTTATTTGTTTCCACGGGCTTGGGAGGAATTACCTGTAGAAACTAGGGATTTATTGGTTTTGAATCTTAAAGCATTTTTAAACGATCTTAAATTATATTTCCAATAAGTTTTACAATTTCTATATATATATATATTTATTGTTAAGGCAAATTTTACAGATTTTAGTATTATTTCAATAGTTCATTTTATTATTTAAGTGTAATCAGAATAGTGCATTAGGAGACCTACATGATAGTGATTTGGTTCTCTTTTAGGAATCCTGTCTCGGATTGTTTCAGATATTTTATACTTTTACTATGTTGTATTGTAACCGGTTTTTGTTTTTTATGTATTTTACTGAGACAAAATAAATGAAATGAAATGAATGAAATTCCTTTATACATGCATATAATAGAAAATGGATTATAAAAAATAAGATATGTAAAAAAGGAAGAAGGCAAAAGATCCCAAAAGATAAGGAACAAATCTTGTGTTTGGACAGCCTGAAATAAAAACAAAGAAACAAAAGAAAAAATAAAGTGACAGAACAGGACGAAACAAGACACAAATCAACAGAAACCAGTGAGAAAAAACAATGTAACAATGTAATACGGATTCAGGCCAACTACCCAGGTAGCAAAGCAAATTGGAGGGATTTCAGCAACAAGAATTGGTTATAAAAGGATTCATTATAATTAATAACTTATCCTACAACAATTGTCCTAGAAATATTCAATATCTTGTTGAATTAACTATAAAATTGGAGCTAAAAATAATGTTGATATATAAAACATTACATAATTATGTAATGCTCATCCTATGCTTTTTGACCACTGAATATCTTTAAAATGGCCCCTGAACATCAGCTGACCCTATGTGCTTAGAAAGGTCAACGTAATTAGGCCTTCTGGGTACTTTTAAAGCGAAAATCAAACCACGCCAGAGGTGCACTTTTTGCACAGAAGCTCATCTACATACTATAGCATATAATGCACTACCATGTTGTATTACTCAATACTGTACTTATTAGTCTTTTACTGTAACTCATGCCCTTGCCTGGTTTTAAAATAAATAAATTAAACATTAATAACTTTATAACAGAATAATAGTTTGATAAGCTTTTATTATTGATATGCAACTCACCTTGCCGGAGAAAGAGCTAAACAAAACTTGCTTCAAAACCAACAATGAAACCCAAGTCAGTAATATTAAAGTCAGTAGTCAGATGACTAATAATTCCGCAAAAAACAGACAGCAGAGTTTTCTTTCAATAAATGTATATTCAAATGTAAAAGGGGAATAGTTGAACAGATATAGAAGTAGAAGATGATGATTTTGCAGTTTCTTACTTAACTTCAGCCTGTCTGGGTACACTTAAGTAGCTAAGTCAAATGACAAGAAAACCTCAATATAAAATTTGCATGTTGTCCATTATCTATGTACCAGTCACACAAGACCTCAGCTTAACCAACGTTTCACATCAGAAATATTCACCATTCGTTAAAGTCCAACAAAAGCCAGAGCTGTCAAATCTATGTTCAAATGTGTTTCTTATTCATACATAAAAATAATAGTACATGTAAGTAACAAAGATATAGATGGATGTTGAATTGAGGTTAATTAGTTGTTACTTATTCATGGAAATTAATGTATTCATATTTTGTTCTAATTTATTGAAAAAAAGTGTATTCCGAGAATATTACGGCACGGTCTGATTCATAAGGGAATGAATGTATGGCCAGTGATAAGAGGAATTTAATGACTTGGTTTGCAGGAAAGTTTTTTTTCAAATATACAGTAACATTTTTAGTTTATATCCTACAAGGAAAAAACTGACTTCATAGGCAGTTTAATATTGTATAACATTTTGCATAAGAAAGCTCAAATATACATTGTGTGCAGTAAAATCAGAAAAAAAAAACTTTAAATTACTCATTAAAAAATGATTCAAATAAAAATATAACTTAATATACTTTGGAGTTATCAATACATCTTTGGTCTTTTTGTAAATGTCTAGATTTTATTTTTTTCCCCCAACTCCATTACCTAAATGACTAACAATGAATTTATCAGGTCACTGATTGACACTCCATGTTTAGTCTAAGCGAATAATTAAGTAATTAAGAACCAGACAAAGATTGAAAATACAGACTAAGTGACCAAGAGTTGTTGTGGACCAAGTCTGGCTATACACATTAAAATAATACCACAAAGCAAGAAATCTAGCAATACATTATAAAAGTAGGTAAGGTAAAAGGAAGGCAAGTAACCCATAATTTGTGCTGAATTAAATACAGACACGGTCAGTGATATCATAGCTGCTAAAAAGTAATAACATCCTTCCAAAACAACACTCTGAAGTGAACCAGAGAATCAGGTGAATCCCCTTCCTCTTCTGAAAAAAAAAATGCAATGGGTTCTTTAAAGTTCACACGCGACAGATTTTTAAACAGGCTCAGTTATAGCATTGGAGGTTGCAGCACCCCTTCCTTACCAATCAACTCACACTAAATGTATTATGAATGTGTGTAACATATGCTGAGAACCCTGTGACAAATGTTACTTCCCATGAATAATATAATAAAAGACATTTATAATAGAATTTAGCCAAAGGATGCAAGGCACTCACAAAGATCCTTGGTCACTGGATTCAGAGAATCATGTACACTGTACAACCCTCTCCATTCCCTTGGGGAGTGTTTTAGCCATGGAATAATAAGGACCTATGCAAGCAATAGAAATTTAGTACAAAAACCTGAGAATGTTACACTTTTATAGCACATAATGAAAAAGTATCTATGTACTTAACGTCAAACAATAAATAAATGAATAAATGGCAGAACAAAATGCAGAATATAAAATATATAGCATTTAAATTTTATCTATTTACATATTTCTTTAGTAATGACTTCTAGGTAATGCCATGGGCAGATCTAGTAAGTGGAACATGCCCCTCCCCCTACTAAGTCACTATATTTTTAAAATACAGTGCAAATCAATGTTATGTGCTACTAAATTATTTATTCTGAAACTGCTGCCCCCACCCCTATTTGAAAAATTCTGGATCCACCCCTGAATGCTGCATAAATTCTATTAAATTCTCCAACATGCCAAGAGTTGTTCATAATTTACAGACAAGTGCCCAGCCTTAGCATATCAGCTTTGAAAGATC